CTATTTTAAAAATATTTAATATTAAACCAAAAATAATAAGGAACTATTAAATTAAAGATAAATTATAAATAAATTTAATAAATTATAAAATTAAAACCAAAATATTTTTTGTTTAAGCAAAAAATCACTTAAAGAGTATGAACACTTTTGTGCTGTTTATAAGTGTTTAAAGCATAATTGTTTATGTTTAAAATTCGACACTTTATTATCTCGGTTGAAATATTTTAAAATGAAGTAAATTCTTACTTTAATGAAAAAAGATAGAAGAGTTTCAATTTTGCAATTAAAGCAACATATATAGGGATGAACGTTTTTTAATTTATTAAATAAATGTTGCGCTAAACCTAATTTATAGCAATTGCTATCGAACTGATCCGAAAATTGTGTATCTAATTTTTCAATATATGTAGTAATATATGTATATATAATAACAACACTCAACCAAAGTATAATTAATAATATTAATTTCACTTCAGGATTTTTCCTTTTTTATAATTATTAGTATATCATGGAAAATATAATTTTGTAATCACTTTCAAAGTACTAAATTAAAAATAAAAGCACAACTGAATTCGTAGTTTATTATATACACTAATTAGGCACACATCTAAGTTTCTAATGTGTTAATACATTTATATATTTACTTTATTCTACAACAATAAATTGCGTTATTTTTAATTAATAATATACCTTCGATAATCCTTTGGAAAAAAATATAGAGATATTTGAAATTTAAACATCCAAGTACGCACTTCCGTTTCATCTGTAAATAAATTTTAATTAAATAATAACTCGTATATTTTTCTGGAATAATTACCTTTTTTTAATGCTTTTATAATTGAAAACAAATTCCGCCTTATTTTTCTTTCAGTAATGTGGTATTTGTGCACTTAATTGCAACTTTGGCGCATTTTCTCGTAACGGATTTTTAATGTCAAAAAACCAAAACAAACAACGAAATTTCTCAGAAACCTCTCTTATTTTAGCAAATATCGTGGTGAGTAGGGACTGGGTGGGCAAAGTAGCAGGGTCGGGTGGGGAAAATATTCACGTGCCATTATGTAGCATTAGGCTTTTTGTTATTGTACTACGTAATATTTTCACCTCATTACACAAAATTTTTGAATATTTTTTGAATAATCCAGAAAAATTTATACACAACTTTTCGAGTAACTCTGTTTCTTTTCTTCAACTTCTTTGGCTTGAACATCGCGTTCCTGTACGCAATGCGCATCACTCCCATATAATTGTTTTTTAGTTTAACGAATAAAAATTCAAATGCAAAATATGAAAATTATTTTCCTTTATTGAATAGCTATTTAAAAAATTGTGATTTTATATCCTAATTTAACTAATTTTATAAATGTAATCTTTTACACGAATAAAGAACTTTAATAACAATAAAATTTAATTAAATTAATAAGTTTAATATATCTAAATTAATATAATTATATAAGTATATCATACTGAATATTAATAAAATATTATTTAGAAAGCACAAGCAGTGGGTGAAATAAATATTTGGTTCATTTTGTTATTCGATCTGTTCAAAAATTGTAGACAAAAGTTAAGGCACTTGCACAAGCATATATAAACATATAAACCCACCCTCAAATCACTATCCGATGCGCACAACACTTTCGCATTTACTTTTTGTGTTTTTGTGATGATGTCATTCACTATAGACTTCGCAAAAATCCTACGAAATTTAATGCACAAGTATGCAGGTAAAAAAAGTTTGTCAATGCGCATAGGCAAGCAGAGCTATGATATGTATGTAATAAATGAAAAACTTCAAAAAAAACATAACGGCATATTCTATCGTTAATATAAATATGTACATACATACATATGTAATTTAACACACATATTATATGTTTTATTTTAATTTTTTATATATTATTACTATATTCATTTTAATCTTAAATTATAAATAAAAAATAATAAATACTAAATGTTTATATAAAACAAGAATAAATTATAAGAAAAATTTATATTCACATACTATATGTATGTACATATATATGCTGTGTGTAATGATTTGCTGGATGATTGCATACGCTTTATAAAAATGCATAAAACTTTTTTCTTTTGCTTCAGGATTACATACATATAACCACGTGCATTATTAGCAAATGGCGACAGACAGACGGGTGGGGAAAAAATATGTTTTAAGTCTCCGTTTTACACATATTTGAAAGTATTGTTTAGAACTAAATTGAAATCAATGTATATATCTACATATAAAAATAAGTAAAATCAATTAATACATACATATATTTAATAAATAAATGCTTATTAAAAATTATTATAAGCATATAAAGCATAAACTTGATGATTGCATGCGCATAGAAAAAAATGCACGAAACTATTGTGACGCCAGCTATATTTTATACCTATGCAGATATGTACATACATAGTCTGATTAACAATACATACTTGTAAAAGCATATATAATCATATAAAATTAAAATAAATGAAAAATGTGATTGCTTTTTAAGTTTTATGAATAAAAATTGATATGTGAAGAATGAAAACTACATCAACATAAAATTGTATCTATATTATATATACATATATACATATTTATTGTGTTATATATGATGCGAATTTTATAATTTGACTAATTGACAGATTCTATTACATGTCACCCATTTATTGATCACTAAATAAGTTTTATTATTATTTTATCTATTTATTCATTTTCCTTATTTTTTATTTTACATTAATTATATCTCTAATAATTTTTTATATGAAGCGTTTAGAAAGCTATAGTGTTATAAAATAGATTCCGCCACTGAAATTTTTTTGAATAAACATTGGCAGATTCCAAACATTTCATACATTTATAAAAAGAAATGGTTTGTAACACTGATAAGTGTTTTTGTTAGACACCATCCCACTCAAAATACGGATCAATTTACCCATCTACTTTGATTTTAAACCGCTTTTAGCGCTGTGACACAATTTATTTATATAAAAAAATTGAATTTTTGGTAAATAATAGAGAAATTTTTAAAAAATGATTATAAAAAAACTGTGCATTAGATTTTTACGATTTTGAGCTTTTTGAAAAGGAAATTTCTTCATCTTTATAAAAATGTATAGATGATTTTGGTCCCGTTCGTGCATGAAAACTTATTTCTATATATAAATGCATACTATAAAAAAAATTCTTTATTTTTAATGAAATTTCTATGATATAATTGAAATATTTTGTTGATATTTTACAATTATGCATTATTTTGTATATCTTAACATTTGTCATCTTTACTTTTTTAAAAACATGTGTTTAAAAAGAAATAATAATTTTCATGTTTGATTAAATTTCCTGGGGTGAAGACAAAATCAATCTTTTTGATTTATGTTGCAATTGAAAGTGAGTTTTATTGCCTTTAAAGGTTTTCGCGTGCATTTGGATCTTCATTGTAGTTTTTTATAAATTCATCTTTTTATATAAGAAAGTCGCTTTTTCTATTCAAATTCACATTAATGCATTTATTCGCAACAAATGCATTAAACATACAAACATAACATTCTATCTTATAATACAGATAGCGCTTTTCCTTCTGCCTCCTATATACTCCGGCCTTAGCGCTGTGACACAATT